GTACCGTTAGTTGTCACGGTAGCCTTCTTTACTAGTTATAACATTAAGAGACATTTATATTCAACATAATGAGATAGATAAAACATAAAGAACAATAGTAAACTTTAAACTTTAAAAAGCATTGTCAATTCACTTCACAGTTTCGCTAGTATTGTATATAGGCATATGAGTCTGCTGGTCCCTGTCCCTGAGATCTGATATATCTATAGAGTGTTGTAACCCGCTATCTGTCTCCGTGTGGTATTTCGTGTGTGTTTGTTGGCTGGTCTCGGTTACCCCCCTAGGGGGGTGGCCAGAATTGGTTCGGTGGTCGCTGTGAGATCGGGTCGTGGAGTTTCTGTGTGAGGGGGTAATATGTTTGTTGTATTTACATGTGTTGTCTTGGATTTTGTGGAACAGTGGTGTATGAGTTTGGGGTCGGTAATGTTGTCCCCTCGTTCTGACTCTGGTGTCCCTTACGTCCGTGTCACCTGTATTCCCCCTGTGTCCTGAGGGGAGCGAGTGTACAGAGGTGTGCCCCTATGTGTCTAGTTGGTGTCCCCTGTTGGTACGGTTGAGTGTGTGGTTGTCGTGTTTCCCCCTAAAGCTCATATACTATTATACTTGCAACAGTTCATGGTGGCCCTTGATTTTCTACTGTTGACAGCTTGCAGCGGTGGTGGTGTTTCGAGAGCCAGGGTGGGTAAGTTTGTGTGGTTGTTCCGTTGTAGAGGCCTGCACTCTGTTCTATTGTGGCAAAAGTGGCAGGCAGAGGTCCGCTGGAGTGTGGTAGCCACAAGGGTGGGTGTGGCTTGTGTTGTCCAATATCCTGGCCGGGGTGTTTGGCTTAAATGGTCGAGCAGATGTTTGCAGCTTCGTATGTTGGATCGTGGTGGGTTGTCAGAGGTTGCCGGCTGTTATGTTTAGTTGGGCCTGAGATTGGCAGGTCGTCGTTGTTGTCGTCTGTTTGCGCTGGGCAGTTGGGGAGTCCAGCCTGTGCGGGGTTAGTGGAGTGGAGGGAAGCGGTGGAGGCATGGGTCCAAATTGCCGTAGCAGGTTTCTCCCCTTTGATTATAAGGGCAAGGGGGGTGAGTGTGGCCCTTATGACGCCTAGGTGGTTGCAGAGTTTGTTTGCAATCTTGGTAGGGCGGTCTTGCTTTTGAGAGGGTATTTGGGGTCGGGCCGCAGTTTGTGAATGAGTGTGTGCGGCAACTGTGGGTGCCGGGTACCGGGTGGCGCGGCGGGGCTGCTGCAGAGATAGGTGTTTCTGGGGGGGGGGGTATTTTACCTTGCAACAGTAGTCACCGCCGCGGCCCTCGTGGACCCGTTTTAGTGTGTTGGGATGGTGGTCAGTTTGAGGAGGTGTCCAGGTCCGCCTCCTCCTGCTGCTCCGGAGTCAGTGTTTTCTTCTTCTTCAGTGGGTGTTGTGCTCGTGGTTTGTCTGTGTATCTGTGGTTAGACCAATTCCGGTTCCTTGGAGCCTGTTGCACCAACTGGATGCCCAGTGACTCAGCAAAGGGTTTCATTTCCACTGGAGAGAGGAGAGTGTGGGTTTGGTCGTCCTTTTTTAACATCAATTTGAAGGGGTGTCCCCATGTATATTTCATGCCCTGCTGTTGGAGGGCCAGGGTGAGGGGTTTTAAGTCCCTTCTCTTTTAAAGTGTTGATGGTGCGAGGTCCTGGAAAAAGGTGAGGCGGCATTCCTGGTATTTAGGTGGTTTGTATCTGGCTGCTTGGAGTAGTTTCTCCTTAGCTGGGAAGTGGTGTAATCTTGTGATTATGTCCCTTGGGGTAGTTGGGTTCAGGCTGGGGGGTCGTAGGGCTCGGTGGGCCCTGTCCATTTCCATATCCATTTCCATATGGCCTCGTGGAGCATTCCTCGCAGGATGCCTATAGTAAGAGGCGCGGTGGGGTCCGAGCTGTGGGCGTAATCCTCCGGTTCCAATTCCTCGTTATCATCCCGGCGTTGAGGATTGTTAGGCCGTTGTGAGTTGTATGGTGTGCGGAACATCGTTGCCACCGACGGGGTGAGTTCTTTCTTTTTTTTTTCTCCGCCCATGATATATGATGTTGGGGAAGGTAAGTTGTGCCGTTCTATTTTGTTTTCGGGGTTCGGGTACATAGGGGATTGCTGATGTTAGCGGATGGTAGTGCTTTGGGGAGAGGGAGCTCAGGAATCAAGCGTCCATCTTCCTTCGCGGCCAGCATAAACCATTTTTTAACAGGGTTTTTAGTATGATTCTCACATGTTCGTGATGAGTTTCTAGGTCTGGGGAATAGATGAGAATATTGTCTAGATACACTAGTACGAATATGTGAAGTTATTCTCTAAGGACATCGTTAATCAATTGCGCTCCTCAGATCGAGTTTTGTGAATACTCGGGCACCCCTTAACCTATCAAATAGCTCAGAAATAAGGGGAATGGGATAGGCGTTTTTAATCGTAATTTTATTTAGACCCCTATAATCAATACAAGGTTGTAGGTCTCCTTCTTTTTTAGAAACGAAGAAGAACCCAGCCCCAGCAGGTGAAGAGGATCTTCTTATGTGACTCTTTTTGAGAGCATCCTTAATGTATTCTTCTAAACAAAGGGTTTCTTGAGGAGAAAGTGCATAAACTCCTCCTTTAGGGGGCATAGTGCCAGGTAACAAATTAATGGCACAGTCGTAGGGCCTATGTGGAGGTAATACCTCCGACTGAACCTTGTTAAATACTTCTTTTAAGTCCAAATACTGCGGTGGGATTTCTGTGGTTAAGGTAGGTGCTATAGGTACATTGATGGTACCAATTCGTTTAGGCACTTGTTTTAAGCAATGACCTCTGCAACTCTTTCCCCAACTCACAATCTCTCCTTCAACCCAATCTAGACATGGATTGTGTTTCTGGAGCCAAGGAAAACCGAGTATTATTGGACATGTAGGGGAAGATATAATTTGAAAAACCATTTCTTCAGAATGTAAGAAACCTACTGAGACAGTGATTGGTATAGTTTTGTGTGTGTGTGATGAGATATTGAGTAAGAGGTCTCCCATCGATAGCCTCTACTGCTATGGGTCTGTCTTTCTGCCTTAAAGGCAGAAGGTGTTTGGCAGAAAATTCCTTATCAAGGAAATTCTCCGCTGCCCCAGAGTCAATCATGGCCTCACACTGAACAGTAGTTTTCTTACAAAACAGAGTGTTTGTTATAAGAAAGCGGTTCTTAGTCAATTTAGGGGACATATACATCACACCTAAGGTCGGTCCCCGAACGTGCCTTAGGTGTGCAAGTTTTCCGGCCAAACCGGACAAGAAAACCTTTGATGTCCTCTTTTGCCACAATATAGACACAACCCCTCGTTGCGTCTGTATTGTCTCTCCGCCTCAGTCAGTTTGGTAATGCCCAATTGCATGGGTTCGGCTTCTGCAGGTGGAGCATGACTAACAGTCACTGGGTTAGAGAAACAAGGGGCTATAGACAAGTTTGTATGTCTAGTACGCTGTTTGTTTTTCTCCCTCTCTCTGAGCCTGTTGTCAATGTCAGTCATGTATGCAATAAAATCATTAAGATTAACCGGAAGATCTCTGGCAGCAGTTTCATCTTGTATATTTTCAGCTAAACCTTCCAAAAAAGCAGCCACCAATTTGCGCATTCGAGGCATCCCAGAAGATGTAGCGCCTGATAACCTCCAAGCATACATCAGAGGTATGTTTAAAGATCAAGCGCCTGATATACCTTCTGATATGTTGCTTCTGGATCAGGTGCATCGCCTACCTAGGCTGAAGTTTTTGCCGGAGACCACCCCGAGAGATACACTATTAAGGGTGCATTACTATCATATTAAAGATCTGCTTCTCAAAACAGCTAAACGCAGAGCGACACCATTAGAAAACTATCCGCAGCTTAAAATTTTTGCGGACCTCTCTGTAACCACTCTGAATAGAAGGAAGGAATTTGCCCAAGTTATAACCACCCTGAGAGCCCATGGCCTTCGATTTCGATGGGGATTTCTTACTAAAGTTATTGTGACTAAGGACAACACCACTCAAGTGATCATGTCACCAGAAGATGGCCTCCGGAAACTACAATCCTGGGGATTCTTGGAGCAGACCGGAGCAGGGGCGTATTAGCCGCGAGGCAAACAAGGCATTTGCCTTGGGCGGCATTTTTCAGGGGGCGGCAAAAAACGCCGCCCCCCAAATGCCCAAGGCAAATGTCTTGTTAGCCTTGCGGCTAACAGACATTCTGGGCGCTGGGCGGCAGTGGCTGCAGCGCTGGGCGGGCGGGCGGACGGCGAGGGAGCTCTTCCCCTGAGCGCTCTGCTCAGCTCCCTCGCGCGCCGCCAGCAGAGTGAGGCTGGGAGCCGGGTTGATGACGTCATATTCCGGCTCCCAGCCTCACTCTGCTGGCGGCGCGCGAGGGAGCTGAGCAGAGCGCTCAGGGGAAGAGCTCCCTCGCCGGCCGGCCGGCCGCCCTGCAGCCACTGGACCCCAGGGAGAGGAAGAACCCCCCCAGCATTACCAAAGGTAAGGAGGCTGGGGGGGGTTAAATAAATAAAAAAAATAAAAAAACACACTAGTGAGTGTGTGTATGTCTGTTAGTGTGTGTGTTAGTGTGTGTGTGTTAGTGTGTGTGTGTATGTTAGTGTGTGTCTGTTAGTGTGTATGTTAATGTTAGTGTATGTATGTTAGTGTGTGTGTGTCTGTTAGTGTTAGTGTGTGTGTCTGTTAGTGTTAGTGTGTATGTTAATGTTAGTGTATGTATGTTAGTGTTAGTGTGTGTGTGTGTCTGTTAGTGTGGATGTCTGTTAGTGTGTGTGTCTGTTAGTGAGTGTGTGAGTGTGTGTCTGTTAGTGTTAGTGTGTATGTTAATGTTAGTGTATGTATGTTAGTGTTAGTGTGTGTGTGTCTGTTAGTGTGGATGTCTGTTAGTGTGTGTGTTTGCCTGTGAGTGTGTGTGTCTGTTAGTGAGTGTGTGAGTGTGTGTCTGTTAGTGAAATGGAAAAATCAATTAAAGTATTGATTATTTCTTTGTGTATCTGCCCCTGGCCAAATCAATGAAACAATGCGTGCACGCTCCCTGAAGTAATTCACACCAGACACAGGTTCCAGGTTGTTGAATAACTTGAGGAAAGTTTATTCAGAGGGGACGGCAGGTCCCTTTTAAAGCAAAATTACATCATAAGCATTGTCAGAGATAACATGAAATAATACATCAATAATTGGTTAAGTGTTAAGTGTCTTATTCAAAGCACGTCCTACAGGGTGTGCCTTCTTATGTCATTACTGTCGTCATGGAGTTCTCCCCCAGGATTCCAGCGCCATCTTGAAAATTAGAGTGTTTGGTCGATGGGTGGGGTACTCCTGAGTGACATCTAGTGGTCAGTTTAGTAATTTATTGAATAATATTAAGTATAACTAAATGAAGTAAATAGACATTTTACTAGCTAAAAATATGTCAATATTTCATGTCACCAGGTCCATGAGGGTCTCCCACGGTTTCCCGGCGCCATCTTGCTGCACGAGGTAGTTAGTCGGTGTTTAAAGGGGCAGGGGGAGGAAGGGGTTAGAAGCTTCTAGCAGCCATTTTGATTAAACATGTGTGCTTAACTCTATAGCATAGTGTGAGATGAGTAAATAGACATTTTCCTTTAACTAGGAAATATGTGTAGACCTTATTTCCACAACAGTCCCCCCTAAAATGGCTATTTACCATAACAACTGCTACTGTCCCTAATATATCCCTAATGATATGCTCCTAATCTATCTCAGCAGGCATCGAACACTTCACTCCGTGGGTAACCCGCAGCGGCTAGTCCACTACATCTCCACACGTGAGACTCGCCTGCCAAGACAGATGCTTTCCCTATACTATCCCTACAGGAAAGCAGTTGTCTGTTTGAACTGATGAGCTTGAAGGGGTGTATGTGGTGTGTCATCTTCGAGGTCTGTGACGTCCTGATGTAGGAAAGTAGGGGTCACGTCAACTATAGTCTTATCTACCGCTTTCTGTAAGTACTTCTGTTATGCAAGGGAGTACGCAACAGGTTAGAAATAAGGAAATGATGATCATTATAAGAACAGCTGTCCCTACCTGGAAGAGGGTCCTTTGCCAACCATTCATCCATCCAAACCATCTGTCCCAAGTGTCGATGACTCCTGAATTTTTCTTTAGCTCGTCTGCAAGACTATCTAGCTTCTCTATGGCCATAGTCACCTTACCATTGGGCCCAGTGTTGTCTGGAATGTATGTGCGACATGTCATGGTCTCAGGGAGGATTTTACATACACCCCCTTTCTCAGCTAAAATCATATCTAGGGCCATTCTGTTCTGAAATGTCATTTGGGTAGTGGCTTGTAATTACTCTGCCAGGCCCTGTAGGGCATCCCTAGTATAGTTGACAAAGCGCTGTTGATTATAGTAAATGTAGTTAATCCAATTGACATTTTTGTTAGAAATTATCATTGGAATTAGGGATTCAAATCCTGCAGCCACTTCATCTCTTGCTTTGTATTCTTTAGGCACCCCCCTTGGCACACCTATGGCATCAATATACACATGGGGGTCAAAGCTCCCTCTGATAGGAGCCCCTCGTTTGGTTCTAGAGTGTACATGTGTAAGGTTTAACGTGTTATGACTACCATCTGGAATAATGTGGATAGGCATTATGACTTTGGTTAGGGCGCACTCCCCCCACCATTGCTCAGCTAATTGGGACCTCAATTGTCTGTCACCACATAACCAATAGATATCTCCAATGGTCTTTGCATGATTTATTAGCAGTGACACAGGTGGGCTATGGTAGGTTGAGCAATATCCAGATGGGAATCCGCCCAGATACACACCAGTATTCTTAGGTATAGCATAACATGTGTAATTACCTGGATACACGGTGACTCCATCAGGTGGCTTGACATATCCATGAGTGATTGGGTGAACCCTTTTCCATGATTCACATGTTGAGGAGTTGGTGGTGGATTGTGCATAAAGACTCAGAACACATAATTCTACTTCAGGAGGTAGGCTTAGAGGTACTGTGCCCAGATGGGGCCTGGCTCCTCCACATACATAACAGTTAGTCTTATTATGTGAGTTGGCGTTATATCTCATCCATTCTAGCCACAAATTAGTGTCTGAAAACCCAGTCTCTACTGTCATAGTGTCTTCAAAGGTGGGATTGCCTATAGCTACCATGTCATGTAGAGTCTTAATATGTGGTTTTAACGTGTTAATAGTCATGTGAGTGGTTCCTACCCAGTCTGGTGAGGTGAGCCTTTTTGCTAGGTATGTCTTTGTATATGGCTGCATATTGTGTTTGTGGAAGAGGTGCAAACAACTATGTCACAGTAATCAAAGGTGTATGTAGCTACATCTGTGTTAGAAGAATTGTACCAGAAAAGTGTAAACATGATTATCTTTGGTTATGGCCACTTGTTGGGCCCAGGCAAAGTGTAGCAGCATAAGAAAACACAAGACACATAATAAATTCATATTTCAGCAAGATTAGCCTCTTCTGGAGCAGGCACTTTTTTGTAATGTGAGGCGTGTATCCAAGAACTCTTCCCGGCTAGTTTAACTGACGTTGCTGTAATCAGGAGCACTTGATATGGGCCATCAAATCTTGGTTTTAGGGTGTGTTTCCTGAGAAACTTCTTGACCATAACCCAATCACCAGGAAGCAGCTTGTGTGTACCTGTATTTGACTCAGGATCTGGAATAGAAGAAAACACTTGGGCATGTATTTTGGTCAAGGCATGTGAGAGGGCAGTCACATAGTCTACCATAGCATCTGACTGAATCTGAAGCTGTTGGGGAAAGTAACAACCTAACCTGGGTGCTGTACCAAACAAAATCTCATAAGGTGATAGGCTATATTTTCCCCTAGGATTGTACCTTACACTAAACAACGCTAATGGGAGACTCTCGGGCCAGGGCATGTTAGTTTCTTGTGACATTTGAAGCATTCTGGCTTTCAAAGTGCCATTCATGCGCTCTACCTTACCACTACCCTGTGGGTGATATGGTGTGTGGAATGCAAGGGTCACCCCCAGTGCTGGCCAGACTTCCCGTGTTAGTGAGGCAGTGAAGGAGGTCCCTTGGTCACTTTCAATTACTTCTGGAACTCCATAGCGGCAAACAATTTCTGTCAAGAGATACTTGGCTGTAGTCCTCGCGGTGAGATTAGTCACTGGGAAGGCCTCTGGCCAACCTGAAAACATGTCCACTATAACCAATGCATATTCATAACGTCCACTCTTTGGCATCTGAATGTGATCAATCTGGATCCTCTGGAAGGGGTATTGTGGTTTAGCTAGATGATTAGGTGCAGTCTTTATAATCTTTCCAGGATTGCATTTAGCACATATAGTACAAGATTTACAGTAATTCTGTGTTAAGGTAGTGATGCCTGGTGCTTCAAAATACTTATCAATCAATGAGTTCATCAGATGTTTTGACAGGTGGGCTGGCCCATGGGCCCATTGGACCACCGCTGGATACATATTTCTGGGTAGGCAAAACTTGAGATTGATAGTGTAAACATCATCACGGAGTACAGCTCCTTTGTTCTTCCAACTTTGTTTCTCCTGGGGAGTAGCAGCAGCTCGTTGTTCCTTTAGAAGCCTAAGATCTGTAGGCAGTGTCTGCATAGTGTAGATGGGTACTGCATCTGTGGCCACTCTTCTGTCCACTTCCCATCCTTGTCGTGCTGCTTCCTTAGCGGCCTGATCAGCTAAGTGGGGAAATATCAGGGTCACAGTCTATGATGAGTGGGTCCTCAT